ATGGGAGTTTCAAACTCTGTGATTCATACTCTTCTCAGGGCTAGAAATTAGACCTCCAGGAATGTGTAACATCATATTTGGAAGGCTCCTTTCACTTGGTGTGAAATTCATCAGCTCTATCCTTGACAGTATGTCATGGGGCAGATTCTAGTTTTTCTCAAGTCTGGAATTTCCTGGTCAAAGCTTTTGTTCAGAGTGTCACTTGGATTGTTCCTCCTGTGCAACCCCCACTATCTCCATGAAACTTTAACTTGGTTTTTATTAGTTTTGCAGTCCTCTTCCTTTGAACCTCCTTGAGAGACTCTCCTGCTGCAGGGTCTTTGGTGGTTTCTTTGTTTCACCTCAATCAGGACATTGTGTTTCCATCCTTTTTGTCCTGCTCCTAAGCTTCCAAAAGAGTAGATGCTTGGATGTTGTTTGAGCTGTTCACATTTGTCTGAAGTATACAGCTAAGTCTCAGTAGTGTGATTCCTTGTGGACCTAAAGGACGTTCTAAGGGTCAGGCTGCTTCTAAATCCACTCGTTCCAGGTGGATTTGTTAACTAATTTCTCAGGGCTTTCCTGGTTAAGGGCCCATTCCACTAGCAGTGTCAGTGTTTCCTGAGCTATTCAGCACCTGGTCTTCTCTTCTCATGTTTACAAAGTTCTTCCTAGTTGATGTTTTGTCTTTGCAGAACCCAGTTTTTGGAAAGTGGTCTTGCAGGCAGCGTTGTAAGGAGGCTCAGCCTTTTCTATTTGAGGATATGGGCTTGTTGACATGTTGCTTTGCTGTCCTCAATTCAGGTTTATTGCTTTCAGACATTCCATGTAGTAATGCCTATTAACTCCTCTGTGTCTTGTACAATTAAGAAATTAGAATTTTTGTATTACCTGTAAGATATTTTTCTTGGAGAAGATTACAGGGCACAGAGATCTCTACCCTTTGGCTTGTATTCATTGTTGCCTGCTACAAAACTGAGGCTCAGCTAAGCTGGGATGGTTTATGCCTGGCCAGGGATTCCTGACTTTTTCTGGACAGTGTCCATTCACCTGAAAGTGCTATGAGGTACTCCAAGAAAACGATTTTACAGCTAAACAAAAAATCCAAATTTGGATCACTGCACAGCTGGGTGTATTACGGAAGATATTCAAGATTGGGATTACTTTAGAACGTTCACCTTGGTTTGAGCTGTATTTCACTGTGCTGTGTTTTTATTCACAGATTTCTTGGTTTCCTGCACATTTGTGCATACCTTTTTGTACAGTATAAAAATCACTGATGAATTAACATTTATGTATTATATGACACTTGTATATGGAGTTTATGTATATTTCATAGATTATATTTTTTTGGTTAATTGCTATACAGTTGCAAGAAAAAGTATGTGAACCCCTTGGGATTACGTGGAGTTTTGCATGAATTGGGCATAAAATGTGCTCTGAACGTCATCTAAGTGACAACAATAGAAGAACACAGTCTGCTGAACATAATGCTACACAAACATTAGATGTTGCCATGGTTTAATTTCACATAACATGTAAACATTCACAGTGCAGGGAGGAAAAAGTATGTGAACCTTTGGACTTAATAACTGGTTGACCCTCCATTGGCAGCAATAACCTCAATCAAACGTTTCCTGTAGTTGCAAATCAGACCTGCACAATGATCTGGAGTAATTTTGGAGCACTCCTCTTCACAAAACTGTTTCAGTGTAGCAATATTCTTGGGATGTCTGGTGTGAATCGCTCTCTTAAGGTCATGCAACAGCATTTCAATCGGGTTGAGGTCAGGACTCTGGCCACTCCAGAAGGCGTATTCTGTGCTGTTGCAGCCATTGTTTTGTTTAATTACTTGTACGCTTTGGGTCATTGTCCTGTTGCATCACCCATCCTCTGCGGAGCTTCAGTTGGCGGACAGATGGTCGTACGTTTTCCTGCAAAATGTCTTGATAAACTCTGGAATTCATTTTCCCATCAATGACAACAATCCGTCCAGGCCCTGAGGCAGCAAAGCAGCCCCAAACCATGATGCTCCCTCCGCCATGTTTTACAGTGGGGATGAGGTTTTGATGTTGGTGTGCTGTGCCTTTTTTTCTCCACACATAGTGTTGTGTGTTCTTCCCAAACAACTCAATCTTGGTTTCATCTGTCCACAGTATATTTTGCCAGTAGTGCTGTGGAACATACAGGTGCTCTTTTGCAAACTTCAAACGTGCTGCAATATTCTTTTTGGACAGCAATGGCTTCCTCCGTGGTGTCCTCCCATGTACTCCATTCTTGTTTAATGTTTTCCTTATTGTAGATGTGTCAACAAAAATGTTAGCATGTGCCAGAGATTTCTGTAGGTCTTTAGCTGGCACTCTGGGATTCTTCTTTACCTCATGCAGCATTCTGCGCTGTGCTCTTGCAGTCTTTTTTACAGGACGAACACGCCTAGGGAGAGTATCAACAGTGCTAAACTTTCTCCATTTATAGACAGTCTGTCTTACTGTGGACACAGGAACATCAAGGCTTTTGGAGATACTTTTGTAACCCTTTCCAGCTTCATGCAAGTCAACAATTCTTGATCGTAGGTCTTCTGAGAACTCTTTTCTGCAAGGCATGGTTCACAGTGCTTCTTGAAACCAGTAAACCCAAAACAGGTGTGTGTTTTTTAAGGGCAGGACAGCTGTCAGCAACACATCCAATATCATCACACTGATTGGAGTCAAGGTTGGGCTCACTCCTGGCTCCAATTAGCTCTGGGAGAAGTCATTAAACTAGGGCCTCACATACTCTTTCCTCCCTGCACTGTGAATGTTTACATGTTATGTGCAATTAAACCATGGCAACATCTAATGTTTGTGTAGTATTGTGTTCAGCAGACTGTGTTCTTCTATTGTTGTGACTTAGATGACGTTCAGAGCACATTTTATGCCCAATTCATGCAAAACTCCACGTAATCCCAAGGGGTTCACATACTTTTTCTTGCAACTGTACATGTGTATATGTATATGTGGCATGAAATGCACATGTCTACTATACATTTAGGCTTTAATATAAGCTCTTTTTTTGAGCACAGTACTACATTTTGGTTTTTATTTATACATGGTGAAATTGTTGAGGGCACTGTTGATTACGGCAAAACTGAGGACTTGGGGTCCTCTGCAACACGCAGTATGAGGTAAGTTGGCTCATTCCAGCTGAAATGTCTGCACAAGGACCTAAAGATTCAGGCCATGGAAGAGGAGAAGGACTATTATAGGTGTTTACCCTTTTGGATCATAGATGCAAGGGGAAAATAACATATCTCATGCTACTGTCCAAGAAGGAGCAATAAAGGCACACCACTTAGAATAGGTGCTCCATCTCCAGATAATGCCTGGATTTTCACTCATGCCAAACATGTCTCAGATCCTTACATTTCTGAAAGGAACAGCAGTGATGGCTGCCTCAATTACACTTTTAAGTTGTTTTTCAAACCACGGAGGACAGGTCCATCTGAAGACTACTAATTTCAGACTACCTTGAGTCCAGGATGAATGAACCTAATAAAGCTGCTTACATACTCTCCAGTGAATGCACATTATTTCTGGCTATTGTCTCTGAAAAAATACACTCTAGTTTAGTAGTAGATGTGACCTTTACTGGAGATGAAAAGAATAACATGTACTGTGACTTAGTGAGAAGGATTACCCTAAATGGTCTATTCAACGTGGCAAAAATGTAGCCTTACTTAAAAGAAGAGATGAGGTTCTAAGGAATAAAAATGATGTGAAAGGGAGAGAAGATAGAGTAACATTTACCACTCTTTCAGAGGAATACCAGCAAGTTGCAGATATCATTAGGAGAAATGTACCTATTTTGTCAGCTGATAAACAGTTCTATGAAGTCCTAAAGGGGGGTTGTCGTTTCTTGAGCTATAGAGCACCTGAACTCGGCTCTGTGCTGTCACCCCACTATTGTGATGGAGACAGATGGAGCAAATAATATGGCTGTTGATGACATGGTCTTTTAAGTGTGGGGTTAAAAACCCACTGCTTTTGCAGGGTATGCAGGAATGCTCCAGAGGTTAAAGTCATTGTAAACCCTTATGCTAGGTTCACACCTATGCAGTTTGCGTTTGATCTATTTCTCAAGTGCTTTTTGTGGTGCATTTTGCATTTTTGCACATGCTTTTTTCATGCATATTTTTTTTAACTTGTTGCTGGGCAGACTAAAAGGCAAAACACATCAAAAACGCATCGAAAATGCATTAAAAACACACTACATGCTTTTTTGCAGCGTCTCCATTGAAGTCTATTGAGCCAAAAACACAACGTTTTCTGTTTACAAAAGCCCCTGACCCTTTCCAAAAAATACACTGGGTGAAAACGCAGAGATGTGAACCTGTCCCATAGGAAATAATGTTAAATGGACTGCTGTGTATTTCTGCAAAACGCAACAGAAATCGCATAGGTGTGAACCTAGACTTACACATACCCAGTGAAGTGTTGGCCTCAGGTGATACACAGAGATGAAATAAATCATCCTACATAAGTTTTACATGTTTATCTACAGCCATCTGTTCCTATATCTACTCAAAGTGCATAATTTACAAAGGATCTTTCAGTTCAGAAGAGCATGGGGCAGGAAGCCTACATTACGTCAGTGAGAACAACTCAGCACACAGGAACAGAGCTAAGGCTGTCAATCATAGCCTGTGCCCTCCCCTGTCACCATTGTTCTCTTGGTGTCAGGAAAACTCATCAGAAGTGACTCATGCAGCTAGCAGCAGTATGAGGCAGCAGAGAGAATTGACACTTAGTGCTCTGTATTGAGACATGTACACAATATTTAGGGATATACTTTGTTCATATTTTATGTCTGAGGTTTTATAGCCACTTTAACATTTTGGATACAGGGAAAAAAATACTATAAAAAAATTCATTAACTGCAACACCCATTATGTGGTGTGTGGTATAGTGTCTCCTGTGTTCCTTGCACTATGTATGGTTCACCCTTTCAGAAAAAAATTGGGGAACTTTATAGGATAAGTTCACCCTTGTGCAGGGGCGGAGTGTCCATTTGGAAACTCGGGTACTGCCTGAGGGCCCGGGGTCAGTAGGGGCCCCATGAGATGCCCCTGGTACCTTTTTCATAGGCTTTTTTGAGTTTGGGCAAGGACACAGGGGCCCCATGATCCCCTATTGCCCGGGGGGCCCATGAGTTGTCAGTCCGCCCCTGCCCTTGTGACATGTAACATGTTACAATCAGACTGGTCCCCCCGCTCCCCACTTTGACAGCTACTGGGGGATCTTCTCTCTCACTGCAGCTGTCAAATTAAAAAACAAAACATGGTCTTGTGGAATTGTACAGATCATCTATCACTAAGGACATCATTTTGGCAGTGATGTAAGCCTCTTTGTGATAAAATGTTGTATTTTGCAGCTCTTTGCAGGATTATATTCTATATTAATTTGTCTGTGAAGAGGAACAGGTACCTATCTCAGCACCAATGTTTCCCCTGTGCTTACAGTCTGATGAGGTGGAGCAGTGAGCTTTACCTTTCCTTTATTCAAGGTGTCTCTTGGATCATGCCTCTCTTACAACATCCTGTGCTTGCTTGGAACCTTAATCTGGTCCTGCAGAAAACACTTCAGGAAAATGCCGTTGGATAATCTACCCTGCAAATGACCTTTCTTGGCTATCTTACCCATCAGATGTGTTTCGGAGCCGTAGTTCTCCCTTTTAAAGAGCCTTTCCTCTTAAATTTGTGTCAGTCTTCCACCTCAATAAAGACTTGGTCCTTTCCTCTTTGTGCCCTACTCCAAAGCACCCAAAGGTTGCCTAGATGTGGTCAGAGCCATCAAAGTCTACCTCAAAGCTACAGATTCTATCAGAAAGATGACTTCTCTTTGGTCATATCCTCAGGGCCTCCTAAGGAACATCCTGCTTCAAAATCCACCATCGCTAGATGAATAAACAAATAATCTCAAGAGCTTACATTCTAAAAAGACAAGACTCCCCATGCACTATTACGTGCTCACTCCACCAGATCTGTGGGATTTTCCTATGCATGCCGGCATCAACCCTCTGCTGCCCAGCTCTGTAAGATTGTCACTGAACAAGAGGCCAGATGGGCAAAAGTTCTGCCATCCTTCTAAATGCCAGAACAGCTCATTCTTACTTGGCCAATCCCTATTCTGCATTGCATGCTACTAAACTGAGGACTCATGGAGTAGGATTGGCTTATAGGGGGATACCAGGGGGGGCACACCTTTAAAACGTTGCCAGTGGGAGCATAGAGGGAGGTGACAAGAAGCAGAAGAAGCAACTGGCAAAGATTTTTATTCAGCTTCAGCCTACTGTCAGGGTGACGCCAGTGATGAGGATGGGGGTTATAATGGACTCTTTGGTGCCAGATATGGCAGAGGAGGTGCTGTGAGGGGGTTATTTGGGGGGTGGAAGAGGATGTTGGGATAGGGGAAGAACTTGTGCTGGGAGGAGGAATTTGGGGTGGAGAGAGGGTTTGTGCTAGATGGGGGGTTGGGGGGGGATAAATTTGTTCTAGGAGGGGGATTGAAGGATTTGCGTTAAGGGGAGTTGGAGGGGAAGACTATCTGTGTTGGAAGGGGGAAATGAGAGGATTTGTGGTGAAATAGGGAGGGGGGGGGTTATGCTGTAATGGGAAGTGGGGAGGGGGTGGAGGAGGATTTGTGTTGGGTGATAGATGATTTTTTTGCAAGGGGATATTTAGGATGGAAATATGTGCTGGGGAAGAGGGATTTTGGAGGGAGGATTTGTGATGGAGGGGGGATTTGGGGAAGAGGGAATAGATTCATTCTGGGATGATGGATTGAGGGAAGGATGATTTGTGCTGGTGAGGGAATTGGAGGGGAACAGGATTTGTACTAAATGGAGGATCTAGGTTGGGAGGGGAGGAGGATCTATGATGCAAGGGGGGGTTATCTGTTTATACTTATTCAAAGATCTACCAGATGAACATCTAATTTTCTGCAGATGTAGCTTTTGGCTGCAAAGTTCTTACAACAGGACTCTGACGTTGGGTCTGTCAACCACTGTTAAACCATTTGGCACAGTTCTGTTTTCCTAGTTGTTGCCCAACCTTCTCTTTCATTGCCCCCACTGAACAGGGGGCCAGAAGGGCAAATGTTCTGCCATCCTTCTAAATGCCAGAACAGCTCATCCTTACTTGGCCAATCCCTATTCTGCATTGCATGCTACTAAACTGAGGACTCATGGAGTAGGATAGGCTTATAGGGGATACCAGGGGGCACTCCTTTAAAACGTTGCCAGTGTCCAATCCACTGAAGGTACCAGGCTATAACCCAGAATCTATGAATATCAGGCCTGTGTCCTGCACTGGTCTCTAAGATATGGAATTTACAGGCGAGTCCTTTTATAATCGATATTAAAGTGTTACTAAACCAACTTCTCTGCCCCTCCTCTTGTTCAAATGTCCACACTGATAAGACAGACTGAACCCATAGCCCTTTTGCACAAGCTCAGTTTAGTGTGTAATGCTAGAGAGGTTGTTTTTTTTTTTGCTTGGTAGAGTGCATGTGATAGGCACAGGGCCAATCAGCACTGTCCAGACAGAAGGTCAGGGGTTTTACATCCTCCTAGAGCAGAAAGAAAAAACTCCTCCTACAAGCTTTAACCGGAGCTCAGCTGAAGTCACAAGACTGCTCTAACTTCTGATGAGGAAAGGTATTTAGCAGTTTATATTTACTAAAATAATTGCATTTTTATATTCTGTATACTGTGGGAGACCAGATATTGTGAATGCAGGGTCTTGGGTTTAGTAACACTTTAAAGACCAATATGGGTCATAAGTTGCATGTGAGAATAGAGGCCATTTGCAATATGTGCCTGTTAAAACTTGTCTGCCCCTGTGAATTTTTGATCATTTCATTGTATAGATCCTTATGGGCTCGTTCACACTTGACTGTTTTTCCAAATCTTGCCAAACGCCCCTATAGTGTTTGAAAAGCATTGGTCCAGTGTTTGCGGAGCATTTTTAACGCTCCGCAAATGCCGTATGCGCGGTTCAGCAGCGATTGCTAGGCATTTGCCAAGCATTAAAAACGCCCCACAAACACCCATAATGAAGTTTGAATGGTGTTAACGCTCCGCAAACGCCCCGCAAGCACACCGCAAACGCCAGCCAGGTGTTTGCGGAGCGGCACCATAGACTAGAATAGGAGGCTTCCGTTTTGCCGCGACGCAACGCTAACGCTCCCGTTTGAACAGCACCATGTGCTGCAATGTGCAGAATTTTCTGAGGTGTTTTGAAAGCGGTAAAAACGCCTCCCAAACGCCTTTCTGCCGCCTGCACACAACGCTAGTGTGAACGTAGCCTAAGGCAGAGAGTGAATGAGGGGGGCAGATTTCTTATAATACAAAGCTGTATATCCATCAGGGTATGGTGTTTTTGACACCTTAACCAGTTCCCCTCCCACCCTATAGCAGTTTTACTGCCAATGCCAGCGCAGGGCCGGCTATTTAAACAGGACAGGAGGTATGTCAAATTGCCCTTTGGTCTTGATTGCTTGTTCCTGATATTTAATCCTGTGAATCTTCTGTTGCCGACCTCTGCATTGTTCCTGACCCTGCTAACCATCTCCTGTTTAACCCCTGGCTTGCCTGACCATCCTTTTGCCTGATTCTCTGTACCACGCTGCCCGCTAGTTACTGAACCCGGCTTGTGACCCTGACCATTCTCTGCCTACCCCTCCGGTACCTTCGCTGCCCGCACGTTGCTGACCTGGCCTGCCTGACTACGCCTTACGTTACTCAGACGATCCATCCATCCCCCACGGATCAGTCCCTGTTTTCAGGTCTGCCAGTCTCTTCACGTCAGGCTCCAATTCCCGCACACCTCTGACGGTGCTCTCTACCATTGCCGGATGTACTCAGGGGTCGCGACCTGATCTCAGTCTGCTCCAAGTCTATCCCCACCATCAGGGGCCCTGGTGAATAAGCAGATTGGGACGTATAGATTGAGGTTCAAATCTGATCCACGGGATCTGGGAGTTAATAGTCGCCCATTGTGATAATTGTGCAAAACGGCTGACAGGTAGTGGAGGCAAAAATTGGGAAGACCAAGGCCCCCTGTCCACTGCGGTCAGTACAAAATCGATGAGGTAAAACGGGGACGTTTATTACGCCAAATAAAATTATTAATCAGCCTCTGAAAATGGTCTAGGAACGTTTTCGAGACAGGGACTGGGAGTGCTCTAAATAGATAAAGTAGTTTAGGCAGAATATTTCATTTTGACTGCCGTGACTCTACCCAGGAATGAGATAGGGTAACTATGCCAAATCTTCAATAGAGTAGAGAGGCGCGATATACATGATGGGTAATTAGCAGCAAACATATTTGAGTATCTGGGAACGTCCGCAGTTTTAAAGCATCTCATGCTTGGTATCTATTTACTTGGCATAAAATGTTATTTTATATTTTACCAAACAATTTACCAAACAGCATTGCATGACTGTGCAATTTTCAGTTAAACTAGCGCAGCACCGTATAGCAAAAAATGGCGTAAATTCCAGTATCTATGCCATAGTTTGTAGATGCTATAACTTTCACATAAACCAATTAATATGCAGTTATTGGAATTTTTTACCAAAGACATGTTGCAAAATACAATGATACGATGAAATTTGAGTTTATTGGATATTTTTTATAACAGAAATTAGAAAATATATATTTTTTTCAATTTTCTTTGTCTTTTTTGTTTTTATAGCGCAAAAAACCCCCAAAGGTGATCAAATACCATGAAAAGAAAGCTCTATTTGTGGGAAAAAAGGTCACAATTTGTGTTTGGATACAGCGCTGCATGACCGTGCAATTACCAGTTGAAACAGCGCAAAGGGCAAGTGGTTAAAGTTTTACTAAACCCAGGACCCTCCATTCACTATATCTGGTCTTCCACAGTACACAGAACATGGAAGTGTGATTATTTTAGTAAATATAAACTGCTAAACACCTTTTCTCATCAGCAGTATATAGTAATGGTTGATGGGGAAGGAATGGAAGCATCAGTGTAATCAGACACGTTTCTGATGTTGGAATTAGTGTTCTTGTTGTTTGAAGTAGCTACAGAGGGTGGTAATCTCTCTCCTCATGTACAACTTTCCTTTTTATTTACCAAACACCATATAATATAAGGCCAAAGATAAACAACACCTTTAATTTGTAGCCAATCAGGCAGACCATTGCACTACATAGTTGAA